AGTAAATCAGAGCTAAAAAAGTGTAAAAACGCAGGCAAATTTGCCTGTATTCTACTACAATCTAAGGGATAGTTTTATATATAAAAAATTTAGATATGACAAATCAGTTAACTGATATTAAATTGAATATTTTTTTTTAAGTAAATAAAAAAAAAACATCATCTCTGAACTATTCAAAGATACTAATCTGACATTATTAATTTGCAATGATAATGTATTCTCTCTTTGTTGATCTGATGATTATACATAAATATGATATGATAATTCACTTCTATAACTAGTAAAGATATTGTTGTAGCTTTGGCACTCTGTTTTGAAATAAAAATATAATTGGTATTGATCATCAAGAGTGATTGACAATATCATAACCATTGATATCAATTCTCATGGCAGTACAAATATCTTTTATCAGAGATCTGTATATATTTTCACCTAATTGAATATCATAAAACCATGGGTCTTATACAAGATCTAGTAACAATAAAAAAATACAATAAAAAAATAATAATATACAGTATGTACTAAAAAAAATAAAATAAATATAATTTTTACCTTTCGCTTCTTTATTAACACGTAAATAAAGTGAATCGCAACTTGGATTTAATGGTTTTTTAGAAAAATAAAATTTGAAATTATGCACAGGCCCTTGATAACCTTCTGTATCAGGTAGCACAGGAATAATTAAAGTATCAGAATTTCTATTGATGCTCCCTTGATCATTTTTTTGATAATTCTTTGCAAAATAAATTCCATTATTAGATGTGAAAGTAAACTGCTTAATTAAAATTTTATAATGTTCTCCACTATGGGGTTGAAATAAAAGATAGCTCCACATAAAAATTCTATAATAAAGTCTTTGTAGCATATTAATAGAAACTTTTTCATGTTGAAATATCTTTTTTAGTTCATCATCAGTCAAATGATCATGATGTTGTAAAACAATTTCTTTTTTTTAATTGTTTCAATTTTCTATTCAACACCTTCCACAATTGTGCAAATTCTTGTTGATTTCCTAAGTTGAACTGCTTTGTTACTTGGGGATGCTTTAAAATGTATATACTCAATAATCTAATATAGTTCATTAATGATGATAGTGAATATTTCTCATTTGTTCGAATAGTAAGAATTCCAAGAATAAATTCAATTATCTTGTGTTCTAATTGATCCTTATTTGTAATAGATTCAACACTATAGTCATAACCAACATCAGACTGCCATGTCTCTAAAATTCTAACCCATTTTGCTATAGCTTTTCGGGTGTTTGCTGGAATAGTACTATTAATGATTTCATCTATTTTGTCATTTGTTGGCTTGTGATATTTAGATTTATTAATAGTTGTCATTTTTTTTAAATGTTTATTTTTTGAATAAAACAGAATACGGGTTCATATTTCATAAAAAAAGTTAAGGGCGAAAGAGAAAAATTCAAGCATAAAAAAAAAAATTAATTTATTTATATAAAAAAATTTAATTTATTTTTTACGTCATTAATTTAAAGCTTAATTTTTGTAGCAAGTAATCCAATCACTGTAGGGTATCAGATAATACTATTATTAAATGCTTCGCACCAATAACTAACATATCTAGCAGAAAATTTTGATTGTCTAATGTCTGGGCCCCTGCGGGCCCAGCTATTGAATAATCAAAATTCTCTGCCAGATACTTTTTATTATTTGTAGATGTAACAATAATATCGTGATCATGCAGATCATGATATAATTGTACTACCTATCAAATAACTACAGTTATTGTTTGCTACACATTCAATAAGTATAAGATATTGGTCATATGATCAAAAATAACAGAATATTTTTTTCATCAGAGTTCATATCATCCCATATGCTGTGTAGCAGCATATGAGTGATATGAGCTCTGATGAAAAAAAGTTCCTGTTATTTTCGTATAACCAATATTGATGTTATTGTTTATATTATATTAGCATGTGAAATTTTTTGTCATAATATTTTGCATAAGTGATGATGTCATTTTATAACAAAAATATCAAGCCAAAAAATTTTACATAATCATATTATATGAACAATAACTATACATTATTTAACCAATAAAATTGCTTAAAATGAATATTTGTATAATCTATTTCATTGGTTTTTTATTAAAAAACCAATAAAATAGATTATACAAATATTTATTTTAAGCAATTTTATTGGTTAAATAATTAATTTTATTAGTTAAAATTTTATTTGATCTATAGT